TCCTGGCTATTCTAAGCTCTATCATTGCAGTCAGCGGGTGTTGCAGTTGAACAGTCCACAAGTCCTCAAATAAAGCACGCGCATCCATAATAAAATGTGCCTCACATGGCTCTGGGGGGTGAATAAAGACATCCTGTAGTGAATTCATGCGTTTTTGTAAGAAAAATATCCATATTTCAAATGTAATAAACACTTTTCTCTCACTTCCGGTATCTGTCATACGCGTAAGGCGATCCTGTGGATGACGCAGCACGTATGCACAGCGTGCCGCCTCTGAGATATGCTAGTCTCGCGAGTTTGTTTATAGGAGCAAAGGAAGCAAAGTTTTCTTACTTTAGCAAAGGAAAACCAGTCTCCTTTTGGTTTATATTGAAATTCTCCGACATTTTTCTTTGCAAATCCTCGGTTTGTACTTCTAATTCGTGACTGGCGTTTTGTTTTGTTCTCTCTCCGTATTCGTCACTATTCACGCAACGCAGACGTCTTACGTCATCCGCCGGAATGGCTTCCGCGCATGACAGAAACCGGAAGTGAGAGAGATGTGTTTGTTACGTTTGAAATATGAATATTTTTCTTACAAAAACACATGGATTTGCTACAGGAGGCCTTTATTCACCCCCCGTAGCCGTGTGAGGCATGTTTTATTATGGATGCGCACGCTTTATTTGAGGACTTGTGGAATGTTCAACTGCAACACCCGCTAACTGCAATGATAGAGCTTGGATTAGCCAGGACAATTTTTAATATAACTCCGACTGGATTCATCTGAAAGAAGAAAGTCATATACACCTAGGATGCCTCAAGGGTGAGTAAAACAAGCTAATTTTCATTTTTGGGTGAACTAACCCTTTACCGAATCAGGTGAGTCAATGATTCAGTGAGCCATTCATAAAGACAGTCACTTGGTTTATTTATTGAATGAATTAGCCCTTTGAACGAATTGGTTGAATCAATGACTCACTCATTAAGACAGTGACTTGCTGCCACCTACTGGTGGTTTGGTTTCATTTTTAAAAGTAGGCCTATCATTGCATTTTTCCAACATTTCGTATTTATATGTTAAAAAAAGTTAAACATTTATTCTTATAACATTTATGCATTTGCAATTTTACTGTGTAAATGCATTTATGGAACCTCTTATCTTCATTAAACAGTCTGTGTAAATACATCTAAATGGCACTTTCGATGCAGCATCAGTGTTTCCTCTGCTGTAGAAAGATGGAGTTTATTGATACTGATTTAATTTGAATGGTAACAGCCATACATAGTCTAATTATTCTAACTGAATGTATTGATAAAATGTAAAAATTTGACGTAAATGATGACATGTACATTTAGGAAAATATTGCCCTTTAAGGTTAAAAAGTGTCCCAGAAATCAATTTAAGGCAAATATCTCTAATATGCTGATTAAAGTTAGACCTGATAGAGCACTGATGAGACTATTGCTTCAGAATGGATTACATTTACACCAAAAAAAAAAAGGCTCCGCCTAACTTTTTTTACTCAGACAAGTGAATGACAGATTTACAAGCACGTCAAGGCTTAATGTCGAGCCCTGACGGGCTACGTGGAACAATAGGATTGGAGTTTTTTCACACATGCTTCAGACACATCATGCTGGCATCATTCCCCAAAGTGTCTGCTAGAGGACGCAGCGTCTCATTCCCTCTTGGGGTACCATGGTTACATGCGCAACCCAAGATATTTCCCTGTGCAGAAACTAGTATGACACCCCGTTTAAGGTTGAGGAAGTAAATGCACACATCTGAGGCCACGTCTTCTAACAATCCAATTTTTGTCTTTTAACAATTCATATTTCTGTCTCCATCGCTGTCTTATTATCTTTGTTTGGTTGTTTCAGGTGTTTGGGGTTATTTTCAGAAATCACTTGTGAGACGTTATGCTATTGAGAGAAATGGAGTGAATGTGGTCGTTGGACCCATCTTCGACTATGACTACAATGGTCTTAGAGATTCAGCAGAGACAATAAAACAGTAAGTTGTCTTCACAGTCTTAGACTTCTCGCTTAGAAATTAGTTCTTTTAAGTACACCAGCAGTTGACAGGTCTTTGGGTCAGTGTTTATATTAATGTAAATGACTCTACATGCAGCATCAGCAGTCTTTGCTGTTTCTGGCAATGCTGTATTCACAAACAGTGCATGAGTAGAGAGAATGTCTGTGCACCTAAGATGGTGTGTTTGACGAATGCATGCATATCTCTAAGTTATCTGATCCATGACTAGTTGACAGACCTAACAAGTCCTAAAATGTACTTGAATTTATATAATCCTTCAGTCTGAGTATGTAACTCTTTCTTTGTTTACAGGTATGTCAGAGGCTCTGTGCAAATCCCAAGTCATTACTACATTGTGGTTACTAGTTGTCTGGATTACACACAGACTGTTGACTCCTGTGCTGGTCCTCTCAGTGTGTTCTCTTACATCCTTCCACACCGATCAGATAATGAAGAAAGCTGTAATGTAAGTTCTCTTCTCTTCTCTTCTCTTCTCTTCTCTTCCACCATGCTATTGATTACCACACGTTTATAGTAAATATATTCGTAAATGGAAACTTATATGAGCAGTCTGACCGTGCCACTGTTACAATTGATAGTCCTGTAAATATGCAAGTATCCAGCTGTCAGAAGAAATTCTGTTAATAAAATAATTTACCTATCCCACCTGCCCCCGGTTACATTCATGTCAACTTTAATAATTTTTATTGTCTCTAGTGGTACACAGTAGCAAGTCACAGATGTGGCACATAGAAAATGGGATGAAATTACCCCGTATATCCTTCAATGCAGAAGCTGAATAGTTTGAGTTAGTTAAAATTGTGCAGGTTTACTGTACAATAACAGGCGAGAACTGCTTTGTGAGTTTTTAACATGCTTCTCATCCAGAGTTCAGAGGATGAGACAAAGTGGGTCGAGGAACTGATGAAGACACACACAGCACGTATACGAGACGTGGAGTTACTTACAGGACTGGACTTTTATCGCCGCACCAGCAGGTCCTTTGAGGAGATTCTCTCTTTAAAAACTTACTTACACACATATGAGAGTGAGATCTAAACCACTGCATCCCAGCATTAGCATTCCCTACATCTTAACTGTCTGGATGCAGAAGTAAGGTGTATATTTTTATACAAACTATCATATTTATTGTTCTTTTATTGCTAATCCTAATGCTATTTTTTTACATTCTCCTCCTTTATGACAGTGACATATATGCATGAGCAATTTTTTTAATGAATTTTGTAATAATACTTAATAAAAGTTTTGACCTGTCATGTTTGATATGCTGAATGTAACAAAATTAAAAGATATCTGTACTGTAAACTGTAATCAAACCTGTTCTGTTGTGACATCTGTGAGGTGTTTTGTTTGTTTTTCATTCCATTAAACAGTTTGCACAAAGTTCTTCTGCTAATTGTAAAGAGAATGGCACCAACACATAATGAAGAAATGACAAAAGCCCGTTTCACACAGTAATACCAGTATTACCAACAATACCGCCGCTCCCTATACGCAGAGTACGCAGTTTGCGTAGGGCACCATCCCAGTTGCTAAAAAAACCCCTTTTGTTCTATATTAATATTAACATATACATATGTAATACGTAAATAAAAATATAAACATGAACATATATACATAATTATAAAAAATGCGTTTTACGGTGAACCCAGTAGACAGGCGAAGCACACGTGACGCGCCATTCACGCATCCGCGCCCGCCTCATGTTTGCGGCTGACTGCAAATGATCATAACTGATGGACAACTATGCCCGGGAAAAGACATCAGTGTTATTAAACAGGTTAAACAGGGACAGTGTTATTCCTGCTTCCTGTTTGCAGTACTGCTGGTTTGTGATTGTAGCTTCGTGTAGCTTTGTTTTTCTGTAAAATCTCTATTACTCTCTGTTGTTTAAAGTGATAAATATAACTTAATTCCCACCATATTTCTGATATTATCTATCAGC